ACAGCAGATAAACCCAGAGCCACACTCAGAGCAGATAAATCACTCATACCACTAGGGGGCAGTGTCAGGCTGACCTGCTCTGTGGATGGATCTGCTGACTGGAACTTTTACTGGTTCAGAAATGGGCAACAATATTCTGTAGTCCAGACCAGAAGAAACGTTGAGCCATATGAAGTCATCAGTACCTCAGAGGGAGGTCTATACAGCTGCAGAGGAGGAAGAGGACATCCAGTTTTTACAACAGAAACAAGCAACAAAATCTCTATTTGGAAAACTGGTGAGTATAGCTCTATATTCTGGGCTAAATTAAGACTCTCTTCAAATTTCAGGTTAGATCAGTGGTGTCTAAAAAAACATCTTTCATTACATGATACCTTAGATTGGAATTTAGCTTCTATTGTGAAATTGTTGTAGTTGCATTTAACTAATGACACTTGTTTTTATTCAAAGTTAAGTCCTTACATTTAATTTTGAACCAAAATATGTTTTCCTTTAACTCTCGATGTATAAAGACAATCATTCTGTTTATTGGAATTTAAAAATTTTATGTAAACCTTGTTATATTATGTATTTTTCCCCCAAAGTATTCTCTGCTTTATTACGTCATACAATTACAGTATGACTGATCAAACATAATAGTGAAATATATCTTCAAAAATAATCTCTGGAGTTTACCGATTACCTACAACATGTAAAACTGAAATATATTTTGTTACAAAATGTTTGTTTTAGCTATGAATGTATCTGTTTTACTAAGCTAGTGGTAACATTCTTGCTTTTCATCTTATTTTGAAATCTCTCTACTTTTAGGTTATGGTTATTGACTCTATATCTGTTTTTTTCAGAATAAAAAACAACAACATTATTTTACGAGCATAACACTTGGTAGCAATGAATGCCATTTAGTGAAGGTAGTTTAAGTTAATATTCTTACTAAAATGTTTATCGCGAACAGTTTCTAAGCCAACAGTGATCCAACAACCCAGTTGGTCTGATGTATACAGAGGAGAGAAAGTCACTCTTTTTTGTTTTCAACCTAACAGCAGATAAACCCAGAGCCACACTGAGAGCAGATGAAACAATCATACCACTAG